TACATGAAAGATTTCTCAAATTCCCAGGAATAGCTGGCAACAGACATTATCTGGAAGGTGGAGTAAAAGGAAGCTGAAGTCATCTGTGTTGGTTGAAAGCTATTTGAGAAGTAATTATCTCTAAGTCCTCTCCAAAGCCTTGGTGGATTGGAGATACTTGTCTTCTGGAGATAATGAAGAGAGAGACTCTGTACTAGGGGTAATAGGCACAACTGAGTGAGTAAGTAACATCCTCAGACCTCATGTCATCTTCCCATATACTGGCAGAAAGGCCCCTATTCTCCAGATAAGCTGGAAGTGTCTTCTGGGAAGGGTCTCACAAGCACAGGTGACTTCACTGCAGAAGTGGACCAGTGGGCTCATCCAGTGGTGAGCGTATAATAAAGAGGCCTCCACTGTGCCTTCAGCCTCCACTCTGGTTTTGTTGTGGTGGTTGTTTCCCAGTCCTAGATATGAACAATTAAAGATATTTGAAGAAGAACTGTAAATCAAAGAACCCCACAACAGACAATAAGGTGAGTTAAAAGTTATAAATACTTTGTAAAAGAGAAAAACTGTAAAAAAGTTGTCATTCATGTATTTGGAGAGGTAAGGAAAGAAATTGCATCCACAAAAAAAAAACAGGGTGCTATTAAGAAAAGGAATATTTAGAAAATGAAGAGCTTTTGTAAACTGAAAACATGATAGCAGAAATGAGAACTTCTACAGAAGAATCAGAAGGCAGAACTGAAGAAACTTCTCAGAAATTAGAGAAAAAGGGAAACTGATGAAAAATACAATAATGTCAGCAGATTAGAGAACCAGTCTAAGATGTCCATCATCCACATGAAAAGCTAGAGAGAGAACAGAGAAAGTGGAGGAGAGGAATCAGGCAACAAAATTCCCCAAAGCATTTCCCTAGAACTCATGAGCGTAAGTTACAAATTAAAAGAACCCACTGAATTCCCAGCACAGTAGATTAAAACACACACCAAGACACCATCATTATGAAACTTCAGAACATGGAGGGAGAAATTCCAGAATGGCAAAATCCAAAGCAACAAACAGGTCAAAATCAAGGAATCTGGAATTCTAATATCAGACTTCACAAAAGCAACACTGGAAGCTAAAGCAGTGAGCACGATCTTCAAAATTCTGAGGGAAAATTATAACCCACGAAAATCCTCACCTCATCAAACGTTGTATGCAATGTGTGGTTATAGTAGTCATTTTTAGATATCAAAACCATCAAAAATTTATTTCCCAGAAGCTACTTGATATGCCACACCAAAATGGAATAAGCCAAGGAAAAAGATGTGGGATCCAGGAAACAGGAGAGCCAGCAAAATAGAAAAACCAGGGGAATGAATGAATGCCCAGAATGGCAGTGGAATGAGTTCATAGGCAAACCAGGCAGTCAGTCCAGATGTGAGCAGGTGAGAAGGTTCTAGATGAGCTTTCTTCAGGAATGGTGAAGTTGATAGAATCATATCTTCCCTTCTTGCCTTCTTGAGAGGAGGTTAGGGAATAGGTAGGTATTTGTGCATTGAATTGGTTATGAGCACACAGAACGCTTAGGTGGAAAAACCCAAGGTATTTATCATTCCGAAGAAAACAAAATGTTGTGCAGGAAAGAAAAATTAACATATGTAGTTCTCCTCTGAATACTTCTACATCATTATGGTAATAGAAGCTGCATATTGATCCAACCAAATTTACTGTATACACATATTTGGAGGATGGGGTGATGGGAAGATGGGAAGCGTTCATATGGGGTGGTGTGTGTGTGTGTGTGTGTGCATGCATGTGTGTGTGCATGATGTTGACAGGAGGAAAGAGGGTCAAATCTTCATTCTCTGCAGGAAAAAATTGATACATAATACTGAAGGAGAAAATTGAAAGGTAGCAATACAATCATGCCATTTAAGTCTTTAAGTGTTAAAATAATCAGCTAAAAAAGTGAAGGAGAAGAAAATTGGTGGCAAGTGACAGTTTCATAACATTTAAAAACTTTAAATCTTTATATGCATGTACAATTTTGATACAAATAGAATTAGCAATTGCTACTGTCATTTTGCACTTTCTTATGCATGCACACACACATTCTGAGTGCTTTGGGTCTGGTGTATGGCTGGAGCTTAGGAATACAGAAAAAAATGAGACCAAGCATGACTTTATCCTATGAAAACTTTCTCTAAAACACTGAAAAGTAAACTTCTGACACATTCTATGAAAATAATGGGCCATACATCACACTTATGTTGGGGCACAGTATTGTAGTTTAATTTTCAGCTGGTGAGATATTTTTAAAATCACCCAAAATTATTACTCCTAGTACTATGCTCAGCACATGATATCTGACATCATTACAGTCCTACACATTCCCTAAGAAGTAGATATTATTATCTGAGTCTCAGAAGGGGCGAGTAAGCTGCCTAAAATCTTAGAGCAATTGGGTAGAAGAGGTGGGATTTGGACTAGGGTATCCCTCATTCCAAATCCAAACCCCAGGTTGTGATTGATTGAAACCTTTTTTTTTCAGTTAGTCTTGTATTTGCAGTAAACATGATCAGGTGTACATTTCTGAGGCTGGGAAAGCTAATTTAAAGATCATCTTCAGAGAGCCTTGGCACAGGGAGGTGTCATTTCTTTGAAAAATATTATAAGAAAGAAAAGCTCAATAGCACAGGGTGTTGAGTTTCCTCTGTGAGGGGTATTTTAGCTGAGGGAGTGTGCAAATTCACCAAGAGATTCTTCTACACATAGGTAAATTAGAATTCATTGAGCATTTACCAAGAACCCCCTGAATCATGCCCTGAGAGTTTCAAAAATGAATAGGACACCAACATATATGTGCATCTGTTGCACTGTAGATGTATGCTAAATACTGAAAGTGTTCTGCTTTGACTTGAGAGCTGACCTCATATGATTAGAATGACTGTGTATTTGCCTACCCATCTTTTATTTGATGTTTTGGACCATCGGAGCTTGATATTTAGAAGGTTGGCTGTGTTCTTATAATGAAATTTCAAACTTAGGATACATGCCTCTAGACCAGCCTCTCCCTATTGAGTTCTGCGGTGCACTGGTCCTCCAACATGCATGTTAAATCAAGAGGTGACTGTTCACACATATCTGGAGAATTCTGGATGTAATATTCTCCTTTTGGAGATTTGTAGTGCACATCAGCATATGAGAGCCTCTGAGATGGTTTTGAATTAAAGAACCGTAGTTTAACAGAGTTGATACAATAGTTTTTAACATGGATTCATTTTTTCAACCAGCTTGTAGTGTTTTATGGAACACAGTTTGGGAAACACTGGACCCCAGGTTGTGTCCTTTTGTAGAAAATCCATGCATTGTCACCTGTAGGCCCCATTAAATCTGAATTGCTGTGATTTTCTAGTTGATTATCAGTTTCATGTCACTTTCTTGAAAAGTGCTGAAAGAGTAAATTTTTAACTATGTGAGGTAATATACATGTTAATTAGCTTGATTTAGCCATTGCACAAGGTGTATATATTTTAAAACATTTTGTTGACATGATAAATATCTACAATTTTATCTGTCAATTTAAAAAAATGAAAAAATTTAGAAATACTTTATTGTGACTATCGTATTGGAAATGTAGTTTGGTCCTGGTAGAGTGGGAGAAAAAAAAAATATATATATATATGCATAGTTTGCAAATGTATAACCCAGCATTATAAATATTTTCTAATAAATTGTTCCAGACATTCTATATATGTATCTATGTTTCTATATATGCATATGTAGACATGTATATGTATGTATATGTGTGTGCAGGTAATACTATAGATACGTATATACTATATATGAATAATTCTGAAATATTCCATTGAAATATAATTTATTAAGGAAAGGAGGCCATTTATTTTGTTGTTTTATTTTTTTCTTTTTTCCAAAGGACATTGCCCAGAAGGAGGCCATTTAGTTTGTTGCCAGTTTCATTTTGCAGTGAATATCCTTATACTAGGCTCTTTGTATGATAGGATAATTATATGTCTATTGTAAGTTCTTAGGAGTATAATTCCAGGTCAAAAAAATATATGCATTCTAAATTTTAATAGATATTTATTACCTACCTTAGGCAACTAATGAGATGGCCAGTTTCCCACTGCCATTGCTGGAAATGCTAGTTCAACATCAAAAAGTTCAATATCGCCAGGCGCGGTGGCTCAAGCCTGTAATCCCAGCACTTTGGGAGGCTGAGGCGGGTGGATCACTAGGTCAAGAGATCGAGACCATCCTGGTCAACACGGTGAAACCCCGTCTCTACTAAAAATACAAAAAAAAACATTAGCTGGGCATGGTGGTGCGTGCCTGTAATCCCAGCTACCCAGGAGGCTGAGACAGGAGAATTGCCTGAACCCAGGAGGTGTAGGTTGTGGTGAGCCGAGATTGTGCCATTGCACTCCAGCCTGGTAACAAGAGCAAAATTCCATCTCAAAAAAAAAAAAAAAAAAAAAACTTCAATATCATTGAACTAAAATCTTAACTGATGTTGTTTACCTGTATGAGAAGCACATTATTTGTTATCTCAAAAAAGTACTCTTGTCACATATATGTTCTGCATTATATATCTATTTAATAGAATTGTAAGTCATTTGGGAATTAGGAGTAAGGGATCTGTGTTCTCTTAAGTTACCATCCATCTGTTATTATACTTGAAATGATGACAGGAGCTTAAAGCTTTGTTTTTATTTATTATTTGACATGATGTACACATTTTTTTGTTCGTAAAATAGTTCAAGCTTATTTTAGCTGAAAGTATTTATGTGAAAGTTTGCATTAATAGTTTCTGCCATAGAAATAAAATTATGGTAGACTTTGTGGAAAAATTGCAGAAATAACAAACTTGAGTATGATGATATTTTTGAAATTTTCATGTTTTCTTATGAAATTTTTAGTTTTTACTATCTTTTGTACTGTAAGAAGACTTTTTAGTCTGCTGTGGAAGAATATCAGTAACATAACTGATTCATTCTTTTTGCCTAAAGGAGGAAGATAATGATCCTATGGTGCCTGTGGATGAGAAGAGAAAACTTTTGAGCTGCAGCTTCAGTTTATCCTCAAAGCCTGCATTGTTTGTCTTCATCTAATCCAGCCTTGATGGACATCTGTGATGGTTGCCTATACACTTGCTGAAACGAAATATTAGAAATGGCTGTATATTCCAAAGAAACCCTATATTATATATCCACATTACTGCTGCTAGGATTCATATTTGCACATGCTGTTTATTGCTTATGTGTAGAAGGAATGAAACTAGTTTCCAGAGTTGTTATTAATATGAATATATATCATGTGTTAATACTGAGAAAGAAAAACACATTCCCAGTGTTAATAGTTCTTCATTTCCTGTTTCCAACAGAAAATTCACTCACTTTAGAGACTAGTGTAATTCTTGATAATAAAATAAGAGTTTTGATTAAGAACAGCATTGAGCTTCAAAATGCAAAGTGAATGATGAGTAAAATTACGTCTCATTTTATTTTTTTCAGCACCCATACCACAATTATTGTTAGGATGGATTGCCATGGAAAACATTTTTGGCATTAATGCAGCAACATAATACTTTATGTATTACTACATAGTTAAAGGATTTAACTGAATGTATGGTTCACGTTATATTTATTTGACATTTTCAAAGCTGTGGTTTATAGGAATTTGAGAAAGGTATAAGAAATAGGATAAAAAGATCAGCATCATGTACCAGGAATAGCTTTGTGTTCCATAAATAGAAATTAAATGGTATCCTATATTACTTTAGTGTTGTACACTTTGTAAGACTTAAAGATATCTTATTCTGTTGATTCCACTTCTTTGATATGTTAAGACATTTCTTTCAAAAATAACCAACAATATCCTTATTTTAGGTGCCACTAGCAAATGTAAGCAGCTACTTAGTTGCAGTTAGATGTGACAGAATGAGATAATTTATGTAAAGCAGTAGGGTGCCTGGCACAAAGCAAATAATAAATGTTATTGTTGTTATAATTGTAAAATGAATGACTTCAATGACATAGTCCTAGTTTGGAGGGATTTTGTGATGCAGAATAAGTTATAGAAATAGAAGACAGGTGGAATAAGTATATGTTCAGAGTTTTTAGATGTGCTGAGTAGAGGTGATAATAATGGAAGCATTAAATACAAATGAAAATCACACCAGATATCCCTAAAATGGTAGCAAAGGAGGTTCGTTGTCTAGTCTTGGGCAGTGAGAGAAAGGGCTAGGGCTAGGCAGTGTGAGGAAAAGTGGGGGCTTGCTAAAGGTTGAGATCTATTGGTAGCCCTGGATCACATGGGAGCAGCACCAGGGAATGCCTCTCAAAGTGGAAAGACGTCCTGGATACTTCCCTTGTGTATAATCGTTTCTAGTGTCCAACAGTGAGGAAATGGCAAAGCGTGGTTACAAAACTGTGACAAAAATATTTACATCTAGCAGCGTTACCATTCATATGCCAAACATTGGCTGCACAGGAGTAGCCTTATTTTTAATTAACATCGAAAGACTAGATCTGAAGCCTTCCATGAATGAGAGGCTATTCATATGGCATTCCTGGAACAAAACACTGCACAGGTCCCCAGCCTTTCCACTCCTGACTGGGCTGGTGCTGAACAGTCAGGGATTGTTCTTGGACTAACCTTCTGATGCTTCTTGCAGGCTCCTTTCATCTGTCCCTGAAATACACACATAAACAAATATAATAACAAATAGTAATTAAATGACTTTCAGGATAACATCTAGTTGTTCAAATTTCACCCTTCACAGGTTTGTGTGTGTGGGTGAGAGAGTTTGTGTGTGTATGTTTATGTCTGTATATTGAAGCAATTTGAATTTATTTACTATCTATTTTCTGAGTAAAAAACTGAAATGACCTACTTGGTTCAGATCATGGTGTTCATTGGTGAGACTCTGTGGAGGCTTAATATTCTATATATGGAAAATCCTTTCATTCCACAGCTAGTTGCCTCAGATTCAGAATATGAATACTGTTTATAGTATGCTTTTGTAGGAATGAATTTGAAAGGTAGTTTGTCAGCAAACAAAAGTACAACAACTAATCTCAAATCTGTTTTGATGGTGTGATAAGAAAGAAAAGTAAAACCTATGTGATGGACCCTGTAATTGGGGAAGGAATCTCCCAAAAGGAAAAGCAGGGAATAATTAACAAATTTCATACATCTTGAAATTTAATTTAGAGTGAAATGCTTTTTCATGTAGCTTATACACACGTAAGTGCCTCTGATTCATTGTAATGAATGTACCTATGGTGTGTAAAGTAATATTGTTGTCAGAAGGTTTGCCAATTAAGATAATTCAAGTCTACTCTTTTTTTTTTGGTTGGTCAGTTTAGCTAAAGGGTTGTCAATTTTATTGACCTTTTCAAGGAACCAAAGTGGAATTTTGGATTTTCTCTATTGTGTTTCTAATCTCTATGTCATTAATCTCTTCTCTAATCTTATTATTTTCTAACTTCTGCTTGCTTTGTATTTAGTTTATGTCCTTTCCAGTATCACAAGGTGGAAGGTTAGGTTATTGATTTGAATTTGGTTTTGAATAAAGGCATTAACTGTTATAAAATTTCCTCTGAGCATTGCTTTAGCTGCATCTAATAAGTTTTGGTACGCCATGTTTTTGTTTTCATTCATTTCAAAGTATTAGAAAATACTTTGCCTTATAATTACTTTTTGATGCAATGGTTATTTAGGAGTGCATTGTTTAATTTCCACATATTTATGAATTCCCAAGTTTGTTACTGATTTGTAATTTTTTCTGTTGTGGTCAGAAAACACACTTTATATGATCTCAGTCTTAAATTTATTGAGGCTTGCTTTCTGGCTTGGCATATGGTTTATCCTGCAGAATATTTCATGCATACTTAAGAATATTTGTTGTATTATTGTTGGATTATGTGTGTTGTAGATGGCTGTTAGGTCTATAGTGCTGGCAAATAGTGTTGTTCAAGTCTTCTGTTTCCTTGTTGATCTGCCCATTTCTGTCTATTATGAAAGTAGTGTATTGAATTCTCTGAATATTGTTGAATGATGTCTTCAATTCTGTCAGTTTTTTTTTTCTGCATTAACTTTGGGACTTTTGTCCTCCTATATCTCTAGTAACATTTTTTATTTTAATCTATTATACTTTGTCAGAGATTAGTTTAGCTACTCCAGCTTTCTTATAGTCGTGGTTTGTATGATGTATCTTTTTCCATCTTTTCACTTTCAATTTATTTATATTATTGAATCTAAAATGCGTCTTCTGTAGACAGCTTATAGTTGGATCTTTTTGTTTTTTTTGAAATCCATCCTGACAGTCTCTCTGCCTGTTAATTGGGTGATTTGACCTATTTGCATTTAATGCTGTTGTTGACGTAGTTGGATTTATGTCTGCCATATTACTTTTTGTTTCCTACGTGTCTTGTGTCTTTTTGTTGTCATTCCTCTGTTCCTCCTCTATTGCTTTCTTTTGAATTAAGTGAATATTTTCTAGTACATTTCAATTGCTTTAATGATTTTTTTCACTTTTTTGAGTTTATTTTCTTAGTGGTTGCTAAAGTGCATATCATATACTTGTTAATTTATCAGAATATTTCAGATTTATAGTAACTTTATTATAGTGAGCTATTTAGTTACTAGTAAATAGCTCTGAACTCTCTTCTCCCTTTTTGTGCTATTATTGTTAAACATTTTACATCTATACATGCTATAAGCCCAACAATACATTGTTACAGTTTTTACTTTATAGAATTGTATGTATATTAAAGAAGCAAGTGAAGAAAGGAGAACAAATTATATTTATAGAGTTTCTTCTAGTAAGCTTTTAGTTTACCATTTCTGGTTCTGTTCATTTTGTCCTGTAAATTTGAGTTATCATCTGGTATCATTTCTTACTCCAGTACTTTTTTGTTCTTATTCATCTCCATTGTGTTGTCATTTTAAATATGTCACATTTGTATATGTTTTGGGTCTATAGTGCAATTACATGATATTTTATACAATTGCTCTTTAAGTAAGTTGAGAGAAGGAAGAAATGTGTATTTATACTGTCTTTTATAATTACACAATTACATTTACCAGTGGCCTTCGTTTTTTTTTTTTGGATTGGATTCAAATTAGTACCTGTGGTCACTTGGCTCCAGTCAGAGGACACTTTTAAGTATATTTTTATATAAGGCAAATCTGATACGAACAAATCTTTAGTTTTTGTTTATATGGACTATCTTTATTTCACCTATATTTGAGATAATTTTGCTAAATACAGAACTCCTGGTTAAAAGTTCCTGTTTTTGTTTTTCCAGCATTTGGGCTATGACATTCAGGCTTATTGAGGTTTCCTACTGTAAGACAAATCCTTTTTCTGTTTCTGCTTTCAAAAAAAGATTTTCCCCCCAGAATTTGTACTATGATGTATCTGGGTGTGAGTTTGTGTTTATTCTGCTTGGAATTTGTTGAGCTTCTTGAGTATGTAGATGAATTTTTTTTTTTTTTAGAAAAAACTAAATTTCAGATGTTTGAGCCATTATTTCCTTGAATATTCATTTCTACTTCTTTCTCTCCTTTTCTGGTATTCCCATTATGCATATATTAATGCACTTAATAGAGTCTCATCATCTTACACTACCCCTCTTGGGCTTTTGTTGTTTGGTTATTTGTTCAGCGACTTGGCTGTACTATTTTAATTGAGTCTGTTACTCTTGTAGTGTGAATCCTGTAATGTGGTTCCTCAAGAGAGCACTGCCTTGGGCATGTGCAGTCACTCTGGGATGACAGTACCCTGTCTCTTTCCTTGATTTCTCTGCCTCTTTGCTTCCGCTGATGTTACACCTACCCGTTCGGTTTCACTAGTTGTTAGCTAATTATTATTTTTGGCAATGCCTTGGGACATGAATCACTGCACAACTGATTCAGTAATACTTGGGCTTTTCTGCAGAATTAGTTTTGAGATTCATCTTTAAGGTTTATTCTGACCCTAGGGGGATTCTTCTTAGTTGTAGGTTTCCTTAGTTATCTCTGATAAACTACCTGGCCTACAGGTTAACTTGTTGCTCTTACGGCTAATAGCCTCTTCTTAATTACTTGCCTCAGAAATCCTCATTGTTTTCCAGAGCACCCATGGACTTAAACGTTCCATACTCTATTACTGATAAAGTCAGTTCTTTTGAATAGAGCTTTGGTGCTCTTTTTAACTGTCTGCCTCTTGTCCTTGGCAAAATCTTTGAGCCACCCCTTGAGAGATGTGGTTGGAATAGTGGCTTGATTCTCATGGAGTGACATTACTCTGCAAATAGGACTCTGAGTATCTACCACCTTGGATCTTATCCTCCACTGTATGGGTTAGTCAGGGTCAGGTGATCAAGGTCCCAATATTCTTAGCCTGTTCTGCACAGTCATTCTGGGATGAGGGTAAGCTAAGGATTCTCTTTGTCTCTGTCCTTG